GAGTCCCAGCCACTGCCTCTGCCCCGCCCGGCTTTTCCACATGACCACAGGTCTCCCAGCACCAATCGCGGCCCGCCTACCAGACACTCTCCCGCTCGACTTCCGTCAGGCGCCCAGCCAGAAATTGCACGTGTCCTGTATTTTCTGAATTTTTCTACCGGACAGAGGGCACAAATACTGGACTGTCAGGTAGAAAACTGGACACCTGGCAACCCTACGCAGGCTAGGGGAAGCAAAGACTTGGAGAGTATGAGAAGTATGCAGAAAATGAAAACAAACAAAGGAAGTAAAGTGCGAAAGAAAAATCATACTTTACAACACTTCACCTTTGGAGGGAGGGGGACAGACAAGGAGCCCACTGGCTTCAGATTGCTCACCACTGCCATTATGTCACCATCAACTTTGTTTCAGGGAGCTGTATCTATTCCCTTTAAAGCCCACTGACTTTGTCTTTAATCTGATGAGACTATGCTCCGTTTCTCTACCTGATATTTCACACTGCTGCTGCAGCTCTAGTCTAAGAAGTGAGAATCCAAGACTGAAAACAGATGTGGACCTCCTGTAGAGGGCAGGTAGGATTTTTAGTATTTGAAAACAGTCCAGAGAAGTCTTGAAATTCAGAGACCTCATCATCTAGAAGGTCAAAAGTGTACAAAGTGAATTTTAGCCCCAAAGGTGGAAGTTGGAGTCAGATGGTACCTAACAGTATTCATCTCATCAATTGCATAGAACATTGCTATTGAACTGATCTGCATTTGAACTTGGAGATGGTATGTTGAGGCAGCAGTGAGCAGGGCATATGCTAATAGAGACCTGGTAGGTAGGACATCTCCCCTTTTTGTAGAGCCTGGTCAGCTCAACATCATTCCTCTAACTGTATACAAACCATGGCAGTGATAGGCACATGTAGTTTAAGCCTATTTGATTTATGACTTCTGAGCTGCTGATAAACACGAGGATTTTATGTCATTCATGTAGAACAGGTTTTGCCTTGGCAATGACCTATGTCTTCATCTTTCAACGGTCAATGGTTAATAAAGTTATCACCACCAATAATTTGATCAACAGTAAGATTTTCAACTTTGTGTGCATAACCAAGACTTCAAAAAATGACGCAGAGGGACTTCTGATGGTGTATGTTTATCCAGTTGGGCATATGGTCTAACATGAGGCCAAGAGGAAGTGAGAAGGTGTGGTTGTACTTTTTTTTATCTGATTCATTTGATACTGTTGACCACAAAGTGTTGCGGATGTACCTGTGCTCTCCTGCAAGTGTGGATGGAGTTGTTCTAGAGTGGTTGCTTATTTGAGAGGTTGTAAACGATAGTTCTTTCTCATGTGTCCTAAGTGATGTCTTTTACATTCAGAGCATCACAGTGTGTAGTCTTGTCACCCTAACTTTATCGGCCTGGTAAAAGGTTATAATATAGTAATTAGGTAGGTAGAGATCGAAGCCTGAAATTCTTTTATGGTAGAAGCCATAAATTCATTGATCCAAAAAAGTTTGCTTGGAGGTAAGGCTGTGGAATAAATTGATGGGGAGAGCCTTCAATTCACAAATGGGGCTGATACAAGAGAACCCTCTGTCTCAATTTCCCTTCTCTGAATTGGGGCTGAATGCCTCGAACTATTTGTGAGCATCTCAGATACTGTGGTGATGGAGGCCATGCTGGTACCTTGGGTTTAGAGCAGTGGTTCTCAGCTATTGGTCCAAGGCCCCTGGGATCTGTGAGAAGGTTTCAGGGGATCTGACAAGCAGGGCCAGCATTAGACTCCTCATGACACAGGTCTGAAAACCCAGCAGGTGCCCTCAGCTCTTGGACTTCTGCATATTGTCATATGTGGCTTGAAGAGTCAGTAAGTTTAGCCACCCTTGCCATAAAGCCTTAAATGGTTTTGGACTTGCTCTGCCTCCAAGAATAATTACCTCTGATCTTGTACCATACTGCCACAGTTAGGAGCATCATAACCTAAATTCACATTGATTTACAAAGGAGAAGACTGTTGGCAGGTGTTTCACCTGGAAGGGGTGTTGGTTCTGGTATTTGTTCATGTCCCTCCTTCCTACGTTTTTGCTATGAGAGTAAGGACTTGTTAATCTTCTTTGAAATGTGCAAACCCATCGTCTTCATGGCTGTTGGAGGAGGAAGTAAGACCAGTGCCATTGTGTGTAAGAACTACTGTGGATTTATTGTTATAGTGGGAAAATATTATTATGCATCATCCTGATAGTCAATTATATTTGACACATTTGTGGTGGGTTTTATAGTTTGTCTGTTTTAATATTGGTAAAAGTGCCTAGAGCCAGGAATAAGTGCTTAAATTGTTATTTGAAATAAACAAATACTGTAAATAATTGAAGCAGACACTTGCAGATAATAATGAGAACTGGCTCAAGGATATAAACTGCTCTTGGTCTTAAAACAGCATAATCTGTAGCAAAGTTGGTAAAATAAAAGCCCCAAAGAATTTCTTCCTACAAAATAACTAACATGATCTATGTTTGGTGAATTCAGAACTTCATCAGATGTGATATTGAGGCTAACTACTAGGTAATATTTTACTCAACCGTAATTTCTGTGTCATAGGAACTGTACTTGTCATTGCAGGTATGGTTACAAAAATATGGCTATCTTCCACCAACTGACCCCAGAATGTCGGTGTTGCGCTCTGCAGAGACCATGCAATCAGCTATAGCTGCCATGCAGCAGTTCTATGGCATTAATATAACAGGAAAAGTGGACAGGAACACAATTGAGTAAGTAACTGGCACTAAAGTGCTCTAAACTTTTATATTTCAACAAAATAAAGAAGGACTGTAGGAATTTTAAAGCACATGAACTGCAATGAGTGGGGTTTTCAAAGGGTGGAGCACTTTCAAAAGGGGAGTGAAAATGTCTTTTTTTTTTTCCTGCTCTATTTCAAACTGGCCAGTTGGCGATATTTCCACTGTCAGTCCTGCCTTGCCCTCTGGTTTTGAAGTGTGATTAAAAATAAAGGATTGGAGGGATAACTATGGGAATGGCTCGGTTACGTGGCT